GTATAGGCTGCGGATTGAATGCAGATCAATCAGTCGCTAGGACTAATTGTTTCCATGAATTTTGGTTTTCTTCATTCTTCTTTGCTCTGGACAAGAAGAGACCCATCGTTGCATCTAGATGGCATCTTGCTAGCTTTTAAGATCCCAGTCGCTACTTGCCAAAGTAGGAGGTGGAACAATGTATTTTTTTAAAATGTTTAACATCACTAGCATTAAGTAAGTTAGAAAGCTATCATCAGCTCATTGAGTCATCTCTGACTCCTGGTGACCTTAGGTACAACAGAACAAAACATTGCTCAGTCTTGTGTCATCCTCCCAATTACCGGTATATTCCAGTCTATCATTGTGGTTATTGTGCCAGTCCATCTCACCAAGGGTCTCCTTTGGCAGCCCTCTCCTTCACCGATTACAATGTCCTCTAGCAGTTGATCCCTCCTGATGACATCTCCAAAGCAAGTAAGTTGAATAGCGTTGTATTGTGATCCATAAGATCCTCATTGGCTAATTTTCTTCCTAGTCTGTCATTGTGTCAAAGCAGCACTGAAATCTCACTATCATGGCTGTTGACCCTGCTGGTGTTTGAAATACCACTGGCATACCTTCTAGCAACACAGCAATGTGCAAACCACCACACACAGTATGACAAAGTGACAGATGAGTGGTGGACACTACCACTAGGGAAATGCAAATTAAGATACAAGATACACACTTACCAAACAGCTAAAATAAAAAGAATAAATAGTGATACTATATGCTAGCAAGGATGCAGAAAAATGGATCTCTCGTGCATTGCCAGTGGGACTGTAAAATCATACAGCCTCTCTGGAAAATAGTTAAGCAATTTCTCAAAAACTAAACATGCATTTATTATGTTGTTAGGTGCCATGGAGTTGGTTCCTACTTCATAGCAACCTGTGTACAAAAGAACAAAACACTCCTCAGTCCTGTGCCATCCTCACAGTTGTTGCTATGTGGAGCCCGTTGTTCCAGCCACTGTGTCAGTCCATCTCATTGAGAGTCTTCCCCTTTTTCTCTGACCCTCTCTGCTCTACTAAGCATGCTGTTCTTCAAGTACTGGTCCCTCCTGATAACATGACCAAAGTTTCACTATCTTTGCTTCTAAGGAACATTCCAGCTGTACTTTTTCCAAGAGAGGTTTGTTCATTCTTCTGTCAGTCCATGGTATATTCAGTATTCTTCACCAACACTGTAACTCAAATGTGTCAGTTCTTCTTTGGTCTTCTTTATTCATTGTCCGGCTTTAATGTGCATATGAGGCGATTGAAAATACCATGGCTTGGGTCAGGTGTACCTTAGTCTTCAAAGTGACATCTTTGCTTTTACACTTTAAAGTGGTGTTTTGCATCATATTTGCCCAGTGTAATATGTCATTTGATTTTTTGACTGCTGCTTCCATGAGCGTTGATTGTAGATCCAAATAAAATGAAAACTTTCTGTACAACCTAGCAATTGTACCAATGCACATTGGTCCCAGATAAATGTTATGTTCATACAAAAACCTGTACGTGATTGTTCATAGCAGCTGTTTTTGTGTGTACATGATTGTTCATAGCAGCTTGGTTTTTTTTTTTTTTTTTAATTGGCAATAGCCAAAAACTGGAAACAACCAAAATGTCTCTCAATACGGCAGTCGATTACGGGGCACTAGACGGACAACATTCACATGGAGGAAATGCAGGACACACAGAAGTGCATAACTATGAGGGGCACCAGTGGGACAATTACTGGGCAGGGAGGGGGAGACTGGGTTAGGGTTGGGAATGGTAACTGGGGAGTGAAACCCAATGTACATGAAATGTTGAATGTAAAACAAATTCTGCTCTGTAAACTTGAACCTAAAGCACAATAAAAAAATAAATAAAAATTTAAAAATGTTTAAAAAAAAGTCTCTCAGTAGGGAAATAGTTTAACAAACTGGTACATCCGTACCACAAATAAAAAGGAAAGAACTGTTGATGTATACAGCAACTTAGATCAGGCTTAAGGCTGTGATGCTAAGTGAATAAAAGCCATTCTCAAAAGGATACATAATATATGATTCCATTTCTGTAAGTAACATTCCTGAAATAACTAAATCAGAGATAGCAAACAGATTAGTTGGTGCCATGGCTTACAAATTAGGGGTGTGACTATAAACGGGTAGCATGAAGGAGGTCTTTGTAGTGGTGGAATAGTTCTACATTATGATTGCTATGGTGGTTACATTAATCTACATGTGATAAAATGACATAGAATGACACAATATCAAGTTCCTTGTTTTGATTCTGTACTGTAATTACATATGATCATTGGGGGAAATGGGTGGAGGGTACACAGAACTTCTATATGGTATATTTTTTAGTAACAGCTTTATTGAGATATAATTCACATACTATACCTATGTATGTATTTAAAGCATATTGAATGGTTTTTAGTATATTTACAGTGGTATATCCCCCACCACATCAATTTTAGAACATTTCATTATTCCAGTAAGAAACTTTGCACCCTTTATCTCTCATCCCAATCTCTTATCCTCACCAGCTCTTAACAACCACTGATCATCTTTCTGTCTCTGGATTTACCTATTCTGCAAGTTTCATAATAAATGGAATCATAACAATATGTGATCTTTTGTGTCTGGCTTCTTTCACTGAGCATAATTGTTTTCTAGGTTCTTCCATGTTATAGTATCTATCAGTACTTCATTCCTTTTTATTGCTGAATAATATTCCATTGTATGAATATGGCTCATTTTGTTTGGTGGACATTTGGATTGTTTCCACTTTGGGGCTTTTATGAATAATGATGTTGTGAGTCTTCATGTCTAGCCCTCATGTCTAGCTTGTAACCATCACACATTGACCAACTGCTCAATTGAAAAAGGGTCCAACTCACCGAAGATCATTTCCTCTTCTATAAGAAAGTAGAATATGAACTTACTGTGTCTGTAATAATTAAGGTTGTGTGTCAGCTTGGCTGGACCATGATTCTCAGTAGTTTAGCAGTTATGATACAGTCTTCCTTCATGATCAGATTTTATATAATGTAATCATCTCCATGATAAGATCTGCTATGAGCAGTCAACCAGCTGATCCCAAGATCAAGCTGGGTTAGTCAGCCCCTGAAGCTATGTGAGTCAGGGCAAGCCTCCAGCCTGATGTTTAACCCACAGACTTATAACTTGCCAACCATCACAACCTCGTGAGCCATTTCTTTGAGAGAAATTACTCTGTGTGTGTCTGTAGTTCACGTTATTGACTGCTATTCCTAATGACTTGAACTCAGGATTTATTTTTTAGTGATGTTTAGGTAAAGAAATCGTAATAAAATATTAGCATTTAGGCTTATGTCTTTAGCTTTGTAAAAATTTAAGTATTTTTATATGGTTCCAGAGGAGAAAAAAGCTATGCTGCAGGAAATAGCTAATCAAAAAGGAGTATCCTGTCGTGCCCAAGGCTGGAAAGTTCATTTGTGTGCTGCCCAGTTATTACAGCTGGTAGGTAACATTTTAGCAATTGAGATATCATGCCAAAGTAAGAAAAGTTGCTAGAGACATCTGAGCTTGTAGAACATTGTTTTTTTTTTTTTTTTTGGTTTTTTTTTTTTTTTTTGAGTAATTTCTGAAGCATTCCCAATAAATAATGGATCATGGTAGAATTTTTATGTGTGTCATATATAATGCTTATAATTTAACCATATCTTAGTTCTGGTACCCAGGACTAAAATATATGGAATAACCTCAAAGTTTTCTCATCTTTGGAGTAGCAGTGATCTGAAAAATATTATGGGTACCTAAAAAAATGCAGTGCCTTTGCTGGTTTTTGTACTTAGCAGAAAAGCAAATTTCTATGCACATTACAGATGTGCTTTTTAGAGAAATTGTGACTTGAGGACAGTATTTTTCAATTATCCTTAAAATGGACACTGATCTTTGGCAAATCATGATATAAATTAGTGTTGATCATTTTTCCTTACTGTGTATTTACCTCTTGAGAGAAAGGACTTTATCACCTGAGCAGTTCTTGTACCAGTTTACAAAGCTAATTCAAGATGTGTTCTATTAGAAGTACAGTTTGCCTGAGGACAGAAAATTTCTCTGAGACCACAATGTCTTTTCTCTTATGTGTTGCAGACAAATCTAGAGCATGATGTTTATGAAAGACTCACCAACTTACAGGAAGGGATTATCCCAAAGAAAAAAGCAGCAACTGATGATGATCTGCACCGAATAAATGAGCTAATACAGGTTTGTATGAGCCCTTTAACAGCTGGGCATCCTCTCTGTGGAGCTGTTCACTTCAAAGTCTTACTCCCTCCACTGTCCACTCATATCTCGAAAGGAAGGCTGGACAATCTACTTCTGTAGTGATACTGCCTCTGAAAGCCAAGGAGGGGTCGCTATGAGTTGGGTCCAACTCCATAGCACATAACAACAGCAACAACAACAAAGAATCCACTCATATCTCTTGTAAAAGTCATTACTTTAGCCTCTATTACCAAGAAACATTAAGATCTTTTTTCTTTGGGAAAGGCTCAAAATGACATCAACCAGTTGTTGAGAAATTCTTTAAAAGTTGTGTTGTCCTCATAATTACTGATGGATTATGTACTGTCTTGTTTCAGGGAAATATGCAGAGGTGTAAACTGGTGATGGATCAAATCAGTGAAGCCAGAGACTCCATGCTTAAAGTATTAGATCACAAAGACCGTGTCCTGAAGTTACTAAACAAGAATGGGACTGTTAAGAAAGTGTCAAAATTGAAGCGAAAGGAAAAAGTCTAGACCCAGGAGAATCAAGATCTTGGAAACAGAATTTATGAAGAATGATGGTAAGGGTGGGGGGAGGGTTTTAGTTTATTTTCTAAGTGGAACATTGAAATAAAGGAAACCTTCCTTTAATTCACATGTGAAAGCAGAGGGACCCATGGCATCCTACTGACAGAACGGATATAAGCTGGCATAGCACCATGAGCCCCTTCTTGTTTTCTGGTGTTTTCCTTTTAAACTTGCTCTGCAATCATTAATGACTCCTAATGTGTCAATGTCTGCCAGTTGGAATCAGTGACATAAATGGCTGGCTGGCTGGCATTTTTCAGCCTCTTGTTTATCTGGTGGATTTCTGCAGGACCTACACTGAACCTGGATTTAGACTTTCCACTTGGACCATCTGGTATCTCTCTACACTGAAAATAAAACCTCTTCCCCTCAACCTGGTTGGTTATTACTCTGTCTAACCTTCCAGTGCCTGAGCTGGCCTTTCACAACAGTGCCCCATCACTGAAAGAGCTGCCATATCTAACATTCTAAAGGGTTTAAACTGTTAGTTCTTGTCATTTTTTTAAAAGAACCATTTCAGAGTGAAATTGTTAGATTGTCTGTCCCATGTGTGTCAGAACTAGGTTAATATTCAGAACGGGCAGCACAATAAGTTGCTCTGAGATCCTGGTTCTGAAGTACACTGTTGGATATCTGTACTTCTGTAGCTGGTGTGATGCTGTTAAGTGTATGTACCACACATCTCCAAAATCAATAAAGGACTCAAAGAGGTTTTTGTACATGAGCAGTTTGTACATTTTTATCAACTTTATCACTGCTATACTGAGTATCACTTGTCACCCTACTATAGTTTCTCATCACACTGATGAGAGGCTTCTGGTTACAGTTTTGTTATTTTGCATGAAGAATTCCATTTAGCCCAGTATTTTAAAGATCTCATCAGCTCTTAGTTATCCTAAATATAAGACTATATTGTGTCCCAGTGCAGATATAAATTGATCAAACTCTAGGACAGATAAGGCTGCGGGTCTATGAGTGGAGCTTTCAGGTGTGTGGATCCTCTTCACAGGTTGCTCTTCCTTCTTCTACAGTAGCCTGTTGGGTGAGTTAGTGTAGACTTCTTCCCACTGGGGACAAATCCAGCTATCTCCCTCTCTTCTTGCTTAGCCTCCATGTGATATAGTAAGATTGTTTTAGCCTACTGCCTCTGGAGACGAGACCTGGCCATCCTTACTTTCAGGAGTTGTATCCATGCAACCACTGTGGAAAGCCGTTTGGCAATTACTTCAATAGTTGGAATTAGAAATACCATTTGACCCAGCCATTCCTTTACTAGGTATAGATCCTAAAGAAGTGAGAACCATGACAAGAACAGACATATACACACCCATGTTCATCGCAGCACTATTTACAATAGCCAAAAGATGGAAACAACCTAGGTGTCCATCAACTGAGGAATGGATAACCAAACTATGGTACATACACACAATGGAATACTATGCAACGCTAAAGAATAATGTAGAATCTGCAAAACACCGCATAACGTGGATGAACTTGGAGGACATTATGCTGAGTGAAGTAAGTCAATCACAAAAAGACAAATTATTGTATTAGTCCATTATTATAAAAGGCAAGGAAAGGTTTATCTATGGAAGGAAATTTTCTTTGTTGGTTACTAGGGGTGGGAGGGGAGGCAAGGGAATACTGTTAGATAGGTAGAGATATGTATTGATTTGGGTGAAGAGGAGCAGTGTACCAACTGTGAGTAATCAATATGGTGGCATTGAGAAAGAGAAAGAGAGAGGTATATGGGAGGTACAGAGAGCAAAGATGAACCTTTTTGCACATACAGTACTGCATTGTCAGTAAGGGCAAACATGGGTATACAGGTGGATAGATGGGTGGACAGGCTGAACTAATAGGTATATCTATGAAGCAGGGAGTGTACCCAAGACTGTATAGGGTTGGCAGACAGTGGTCCTATAAATTTATTTATATGATCTGAATTCCCAGGTGTATAGTAGAGCTGACAAGGGGCAAGGTTATAGTCACTTCTTGGTCACAGCCAGCTACCTAGAGGGACCGAGTAGTTGAACCTGTGGGCTCGGAACCATAGTCGCAGGGGACATCACGTTAAATTGGCATAACAAACTACACAAAACATTGTTCCACCTCCTACTTTGATGAGTAGTGACTGGGATCTTAAAAGCTTGCAAGCACCCATCTAGATGTAATGATGAGTCTCTCCTTGTCCAGAGCAAAGAAGAATGAAGAAATCCAAAAATTCATGGAAACAATTAGTCCTAGCGACTGGTACACCATCTGATCTGCAGCCTCTACAACTATGAGACCAGAAGAACTAAATGGTGCCCGGCTACCACTGTCAACCACTTGGAAGGGGATCTATGTAGGAGATCCTGGGTAGAGAGGGAGAACAATATGGAACAAAACTCAAAATCATTTGGAGAAAGGAAAAAAGGGGGGGAACCAGGTTTGCTAGTCTGATAGAGCCTGTTGGAACCACTGAGACTATGGCCCCTAGCTGCCCTTCACATCTGGAATTGAACCCACACCTGTGGCTTCCAGCCAAACAAAAGACAGGTATATGAGATGAACATTTACCTGAGGTAGATACGCTCCTTGGAAAGAACAATCATGGGAGAAAGAAGGGCCGCTTATGCACAGAGAGACAGCTCAGGGGGCAGGAGTGCACGGAGGGACTGAGGCAGGAAAGAGTTTACTATTGGGAGGAAGTGGGAGGGGAGCTGTTGCATTGTGGTAAATTGTCAATGTCGTGAGACTAAGTGTATGAACTGTATGGAAAGTGAATTTGTAAATTTTCACCCATATCACAATTAAAAAAAAAAAAAAAAGTTGTATCCAAATACCACCTTGAATCTGGAGATCTCTTTTCCCTGACCTGAACAGATTTGAGATAAGAAATCTATGCCAATTTGCCCCAGGTCTTTTGAGACCACCTTTCTCATATTAAAATGGTAAGCTCTTCCATCTGGTGTGAGATTGGTGTGAAAAGAATCAGTGCCTACCTTTGCCCTTCTTGGGTTAAGCAGCTGAAAGGCCTACATAAACTAAAGAAATCCTGAGAGCAATCTAGACAGAGTATTTTCACTAGGTTATGAAGCTGTGATGCTTAATGTTCTGTGTCAATTTGATTAGGCTATAATTCTCAAGATTTGACAGACATCACCTTTCATTTCACAATCTGATATGATTAGCCCGACAGCCTTTTCACAAGGAATATAGGTATGGCCTACTCCCGTGATACAAATGAATGTTCTGGCAAAGCTTGCTCTTTCTCATCCCGCAGTACTCTTGGAGTCTGACCTCAGTTCCTAGGACATAAGCCAGCAGGAACCTCCAGTCTGTCACTTGACCTGCAGATTTGGATTCAATACCTACAACCCTGTAAGCCAGCCGAGACCACCAGCTGTCTCCTAACTAGGCAGGTTTTTTAGTTTGTCAGCCCCTTAAATCATGTGCACTAACAGATGGTTACCCCATCATCTGACCCTCGGATTTGAGGTTCACGATTGTGTGAGCAGTTTTCTCAAAATTGTAGAGCATATCTATACATGTTTCACTGATCCTAGTCCTCTAAAGAACCCAAAGTAAGACATTTGGTATTGAGAGTGGTTCTGTTATCGTTAGGTGACATCAAGTCAGTTCAGACTTAAAATGATGCTATTTACAGCAGAACCTAACACTGCCCCATCCTGATCCATTCTCAAAATTACTGTGCTTGGCCACATCATTGCAGCCACTGTATCAGTCCATCTCATTGAGGGTCTTCCTCTTTTTTCATTGACCCTCTACCAAACATGATATCCTTCTCCTATAATATCCAGGGACTTGTCCCTTTTGACAACATGACCAAAGTAAAAGAGAGTAAGTCTAGTCAATCTTGCTTCTAAGGAACATTCTGATTGTACTTCCTCTAAGAAAGATTTGTTCTTCTAAAAGTTCATGGTACATTCAATATTCTTTGCCAATACAACAATTCAAATGCATCAGTTCTTTGATATTCCTTATTCATTGTCCAGTTCTCATATGCATATGAGGTAATTGAAAATGCCATGGCTTGGGTCAGGTGCACCTTAGTCTTCAAAGTGACATCTTTGCTCTTTAATACTTTCAAAAAGTCTTTTCCTGCAAATTTGCCCAATGTAATACATCGTTTGATTTCTTGACTGCAGCTTTTATGGGCCTTAATTGTGGATCCAAGTAAAATGAAATCCTTGACAACTTCAACCTTTTCTCCATGTATCATGATGTTGCTTATAGGACCACTTGTGAGGACTTTTTTTCTTCATGTTGTTTAATCCATACTGAAGGCTATAATCTGATCTTCATCAGTAAGTGCTTCAAGTCAGATTCACTTTCATCAAGCTACATTGTGTAATCTGCATATTGAAGGGTGTTAATGAGTCTTATTCCAGTCCTGATGCCAGGTTCTTTATATACTCCAATTTCTCAGATTATTTGCTCAGCATTCAGATTGAATAAGACTGGTGAAAGGATACAGCCCTGACACACACCTTTCTTGATTTTAAACCATGCAGTAGCCCCTCATTGTATTTGAACAACTGCCTCATGGTCTATATACAGGTTCTGCATGAGCACAATTTAGTGTTCTGGAATTCCCATTCTTCTCAGTGTTATTCATAATCTTTTATGATCCAAAGAGTGGAATGCTTTTGTATAGTTAATAAAACACTAACATCTTTCTGGTATTCTTTGCTTTCAGCTAAGATCCATCTGACATCAGCAATGATATCCTTTGTTCCATATTCTCTTCTGAATCTGGCTTGAACTCTGGCTGTTGCTTGTCAATATACTGCTGCAACCATTGTTTAATTATCTTCAGCAAAATTTCACTTATGTGTAATAATAATGATATTGTTTGATAATTTCCACATTCTGTTGGATCACCCTCTATGGACTGGGCAAAGATATGGATCTTTCCAGTCAGCCTGCTAGCTGTCTTCCAAATTTCTTAGCATAAATGAGTGACCACTTCCAGCATTGCAGTTGTGTGTATTCTGTCAATCCCTGGAGCCTTGTTATTCATCAGTTCCTTCAGAGAAGGTTGGACTTCTTTCAATACCATTGCTTATATATATATTATATATGCTACCTCCTGAAATGGTTGGGTGTAGAGCAATTCTTTTTGATATAGTTACTGTGTATTTCATCATCTTTTGGTGCTTCCTGCATCCTTAAGTTTTTGCCCCTAGAATCCTTCAATATTGCAACTCGAGGCTTCAACTTTTTCTTCAGTTACTTCAGCTTGAGAAATGCCAAATCTTTGCTTCCCTTTTGAGTTTGTAACTCCAGGTCTTTGCACATTTCATTATAATAATTGATTTTGTCTTCTCAAGCTGCACTTTGATATCTTCTATTCAGCTCTACTACTTCAACATTTATTCCATTCACTTTACTACATTCAAAAGCAAGTTTCAGAGGCTTCTCACATCCATTTTGGGCTTTTATTCCTTTCCTGTGTTGACCTTTTGCTTTCTTCATGTATGATGTTCTTGATGTCATCCCACAAGTCATTTGGTCTTCGATCATTGGTGTTCAGTGTGTCAAATCTGTTCTTCATATTGTCCGTAAATTCAGGTGGGATATACACAAGGTCATATTTTGGCTCTTGTGAACTTACTTTAATTTTCTTCTGCTTAAACTTAAACTTGCATAAGAGCAATTGATGGTCTGTTCCATGTCAGCCTTGGGCTGGTTCTGACTGATGATA